TATACTTTTCCTCTCAGATTTATATACATCATTTTTATACAGTTTTGTATTTACATTAGGGGTACCTGAAGCACTTGAAACAAAGTTAAGAGAGAGGATAATATAAACCTAAAGGCAGTGTAGTCATCCATCCATTATCATCAAATGGTAACACCACATGGGTGGCCTAAATTTACTCTCCAAGAACAACAACAAACACCCCCCAACACACACACACACACAAACACTACCACTCTGAGGCCTTTGATTTGGCTTGGATGTACGTGCAGATCGATCATATTTGATATCATGCAAACACATAATGGTGCTTTCTTTCTAACTGAATAACAAATGCAAGTTAAAAACTTAAATTCACAATAACATTCTTCTCATACTGTGCTGGTATAAAGTGAATTAAAGTGAGTGTACCTGTATGTAGGTAAGTGCCAGGTAAATATCTACAATTGTAACGTGTTAGAAGAGGGGAAATCCAAACTAGGTGCAACAAGAAGAGTAAAACTGCATTAAATCTTTCATCGTGCAAGGTGAACCTGCCTCTAGGGCTCAGCATTTCCCTAATGTGCACCAAGCCTGATTACTCTGTGAACAATATACCTGGACTACTCTCTCGTTCGTTCTCACTGTTTCACCCTGAGGATGGGCATTGCTCCTAACCATTTCAGGCTCTGAGTTTCGTTGTACAAGTCATGAATATCATTTTGCAATTTGATTGCATCTTCTAATAAGGCTCAAAGAAATTGAAAAATGCAACTCACTGCATAAAACAACAAAGATGAAACAAATCAAAGCAAAAAAAAAAAAAAAAACCAAAACAAAAAAAAAGCTTTTTTAATGTAATACTAATCTATATTCCAGTTCTTCCTCATAGAGGCACTGTTCCTCCACTACGGCATTTTGGTGTTTTTTGTAGTAACATTTATGTACTAGTGAGCAGTTGTAAGAGGTGAGTTTCACTGCAGCCTGTAGCAGATGTGAGGGAGGATTTAAGTTCTGTTTCAGGTGGGTATTGGTGAGGCCAATTGGTGTTTCCATCAGGCCTTGGCGGAGACAGTTAAGAGTATGTACAGCCAAAGGGGTGCTGGTTAACTGTGATGCCTTAGGTTCATAGGTCATAAAGTGGTGCTCTGGGGCTCCTCCTCAGGCACAGCGTCCCCCTCTGGAGAGTCTGTCACTGCCAGGGACCTCCTGCAGGGGGCACCGCTGAATTCATCGATGAGGCTGTCCAGATTGACATTGATGGAGGGGATTTCATAATTGAAGATATCTAATGGTGAGCATGATGGGAAAGGTGAATATGATGAGTAGAATGGTGGAAATGGTGATGATGAGCAAGAGGAGGAGGAGAAGAGGGCATATGATGATGATAATGAGGTGTAAAAACGGAAGAGAGCAGAAATAATATTAATCTTTTTAAGTCTGAACTCATGGTAAGTGGCATATGATGTCTGGCCTGATTAAAGTAATAACTAGATTACATGTGCTTCACATTCTACACAGGGATTTTTGAGTGTGTTGCTAGCCACACCTGAATAAAGTTGGTTGTGACTAGTGTTATATGTCACAGCTTCATGTGTCTTTTGAAAAAACAACAGACATTTTGTCAGATAAAATGCAATAACAGGTCAAAATGACTGCACAGTGACACATTACTTTATACATTTATGACAGTGTCCAGATAAACCAACACAGAGGCAACAAGATGTGTGTGGAACTCTGGAAAAATGGCACCAAGACACCAAGTGGGCTTGAAATAACAATGGAAATCTCACGGGGACCAGATATTTGCTCTAAATATAAATATAGACCTAAGTGTTGCTGCATTTTCTTAAAGCAGCAGGTCTAAGTAGAGACCGATGACTACTCCTGTGTAGGAATGAGATGGAATGTGGCAGTGTAGTCAGAGGGAGCAGAGGTTATAAAAAGCAATGAATCTTTCAAAGGACAGTTGGGGGTTACCTTTGCCCCCCCGATACCGGTGGCAGTGGCATTAGAGGGGGACATCTGCTGGCACAGGGCTGGGAATGGGCACTGAAGGAGGGGGGCTTTAAGATGGACCTTTGTAAGCGACGGCGTCTGCAATGTGAGTGCAGTGTGGTGCACTCTGGGAAGTCCTTAAGCCATGCATTATCGGTTGAACCACGACACCAGGCAGACTTGATAATGGAATAGGGAAGATGTTCTGATTGAGAGCTAAAAGTAGGTATGCTTGAGGCAGGCTGCAGGAGACCCCAGAGGCAGCCACAGCATGAGGCCAGGCAGTGAGATGGAGAGCATGGGGTGGGGGGCGGTCTGGCTTACCCTAAAAGTCCCCCTCACACTTAGCCCACACTGAATCCCTGGCCTCACACAGCTGCAAGGTACACAATAGTAGCAGGGGGAACAAGAGAATGATAAATATGACAAAGTGACAGAATGACTGGTATATATTGACAGAACACCTCATCATCAGAACATCATACTGTAGATATAATGTGTGGTTTGTCTGCCTATGTTTCCACTCCTGCTAAGAGAGACTGGACTGGTGTGAACTGTCAGCCTCAGACCCACCTCTGCCAAGCGAGGGTCTTGGTAACACAGATAAACAGAGAGCACACGATGAATCTAATGGCAACTTTGATACAAGCGGGACGAGCTATGCTTCTCTGATGTTTCCACACATTACCCAGAAACATCGTCACATAACACAACCAATGAATACGTAGGTCAGGAGATTTCCTCACTACAGTAGCATGAAAGTGCTAATATTTACATGTGTCATTCTCAGGCATCTGTGTCTAAAAGGCAACTTTTATTCATTCCGACATTCGTTTGGGAACAGTCAACAAATGGGACAGGTATGTTTTATATCTACAGTGACAAGTCCTACACAGTCCTACACTCTTCCACCATCTCCATTGGACAGAGCCACAGCGAGTCTGAGAGAGGGCCGCTGCAACCCCACCTGTGGTGGCGACGGGGGTGTTGTTGCCAAGGGCTGATGTTTACCTGTAGACATGCTCTCCCCGGGAGACAGTCCATCCAGGAGGCCCTGCTCCAGGGGCTGGGGTACTGGGGTGGTGGCTGGGCCAATGAGCCCCAGTGGGGTTGTGGGTGGTTGAGGAGGGGGCAGGCTGGGTCTCTGCCTGGGCTTAGGGGCAGGCCGAGACTTGGTTAGCGTTCCTGTCAGGGAGGGTGGGGACGAAAGGGAGTGAGGTGCCCCTAATGGGGTCTGCCCAGGGGAGGATGGGGGCACTTGCCCTGGTGGGCAGGCCAGTCCATAAGGGGAGGGGGTGCTAGGAGGTGTGGGAGACAGGCTGACCGGTGATGGCTGACCTGTGGACTGGTCGCACATCCCGCCAGACTGGCCGTAAGGGACCTTGGGAGGCACAGGGGCCAACTTCTTGGATCCTGGAAGCACACAACAAAATCATATTACTCTCTCCTGTTAAAAATGAAAATCCAATTTCTTAAAATAAAGAAAATCAATCTAAGCTCAGACTGACCTTTGCGCAGGGTGTGTGGACTGTGCTCTGTGGAGTGGGGGGACTGGCCACTGCTCTGAGGACTGCTGCTGGGTGGGACTGTTGGACCTGCCACCTGGATGGCTTTGTGTCCAATGACAGGGGAGAGCTCTTTACTCTTCAGTGAACTGAAAAAGGAGCAGACATTAGTGTGTAAATAGTATCAGACAGTAAATCTGTGAACATGTGTGCATTCAGGACAGTCAGTACATCTCATATACATTGCCTCAGTGCCATCACCACCACCACCACCAACTTATACTGTAAGTGTTTCACTACTTTTAATGTGTTGTTACCACTGTTACCAAAGTTTTCGGAAACAGAAAATGATGCCAAAAAGACTACATCAAGGGAAGCATTAAAATCTCTTGCATTGAGTCCAAAACAGTGTCACATCTTTTTAAATGCTTCTAAATGCAAATCTTTGTGTTCAAATTACAATAAATCTAATTTTACAGAGCGTGTACAGTAGTGTTGCATTTGCGAGGATGTTGTCTTTTTCATGGATGAAAATATTACTGACCAATCAGGGACTGACAATGTGAATGCACATATGGATTTAACAATGGATTTAACAATGAAGTGTTAATTATAACAATCTCAAATGTCAGTTTTAATAGAATAAGGAAGAGTAAAAAAGCATACAAGTCTGTTCTTGAGAACACCGGTAAATTAGATACATTTCACAAACAAACAGACGATAGATAGATAGATAGATAGATAGATAGATAGATAGATAGATAGATAGATAGATAGATAATCAAACTCAAAATTTCAATGAATGGACTCCTGACCCAAACCACTGACCTTAAAGAATTCTTTCCAACATTCGTGACCAGAGGGAGTATACAGTGGGTACGGAAAGTATTCAGACCCCCTTACATTTTTCACTCTTTGTTATATTGCAGCCATATGCTAAAATCATTTAAGTTCATTTTTTTCCTCATTAATGTACACACAGCACCCCATATTGACAGAAAAACACAGAATGTTTGACATTTTTGCAGATTTATTAAAAAAGAAAAACTGAAATATCACATGGTCATAAGTATTCAGACCCTTTGCTCAGTATTTAGTAGAAGCACCCTGTTGAGCTAATACAGCCATGAGTCTTTTTAGGAATGATGCAACAAGTTTTTCACACCTGCATTTGGGGATCCTCTGCCATTCCTCCTTGCAGATCCTCTCCAGTTCTGTCAGGTTGGATGGTAAACATTGGTGGACAGCCATTTTCAGGTCTCTCCAGAGATGCTCAATTGGGTTTAAATCAGGGCTCTGGCTGGGCCATTCAAGAACAGTCACAGAGTTGTTGTGAAGCCACTCCTTCGTTATTTTAGCTGTGTGCTTAGGGCCATTGTCTTGTTGGAAGGTGAACCTTCGGCCCAGTCTGAGGTCCTGAGCACTCTGGAGAAGGTTTTCGTCCAGGATATCCCTGTACTTGGCCACATTCATCCTTCCCTCGATTGCAACCAGTCGTCCTGTCCCTGCAGCTGAAAAACACCCCCATAGCATGATGCTGCCACCACCATGCTTCACTGTTGGGACTGTATTGGACAGGTGATGAGCAGTGCCTGGTTTTCTCCACACATACCGCTTAGAATTAAGGCCAAAAAGTTCTATCTTGGTCTCATCAGACCAGAGAATCTTATTTCTCACCATCTTGGAGTCCTTCAGGTGTTTTTTAGCAAACTCCATGCGGGCTTTCATGTGTCTTGCACTGAGGAGAGGCTTCCGTCGGGCCACTCTGCCATAAAGCCCCGACTGGTGGAGGGCTACAGTGATGGTTGACTTTCTACAACTTTCTCCCATCTCCCGACTGCATCTCTGGAGCTCAGCCACAGTCATCTTTGGGTTCTTCTGTACCTCTCTCACCAAGGCTCTTCTCCCCCGATAGCTCAGTTTGGCCGGACGGCCAGCTCTAGGAAGGGTTCTGGTCGTCCCAAACGTCTTCCATTTAAGGATTATGGAGGCCACTGTGCTCTTAGGAACCTTAAGTGCAGCAGAAATTTTTTTTGTAACCTTGGCCAGATCTGTGCCTTGCCACAATTCTGTCTCTGAGCTCTTCAGGCAGTTCCTTTGACCTCATGATTCTCATTTGCTCTGACATGCACTGTGAGCTGTAGGGTCTTATATAGACAGGTGTGTGGCTTTCCTAATCACGTCCAATCAGTATAATCAAACACAGCTGGACTCAAATGAAGGTGTAGAACCATCTCAGGGATGATCAGAAGAAATGGACAGCACCTAAGTTAAATATATGAGTGTCACAGCAAAGGGTCTGAATACTTATGACCATGTGATATTTCAGTTTTTCTTTTCGTTCCCAGGCCAGCCGAGAGACATAGTCCCTCCAGCGTGTCCTGGGTCTTCCCCGGGGCCTCCTCCCGGTGGGACATGCCTGGAACACCTTCCTAGGAAGGCGCCCAGGAGGCATCCGAAAGAGATGCCCGAGCCACCTCAGCTGGCTCCTCTCGATGTGGAGGAGCAGCGGTTCTACTCTGAGCTCCTCCCGGGTGACCGAGCTCCTCACCCTATCTCTAAGGGTGCGCCCGGCTGCCCTGCGGAGAAAGCTCATTTCGGCCGCCTGTATCCGGGATCTTGCCCTTTTGGTCATGACCCAAAGTTCATGACCATATAACAAAGAGTGAAAAATTTAAGGGGGTCTGAATACTTTCCGTACCCACTGTATATGTGTAGAAGAAGCATTAAGTAATGCTATAATAATCTTTGGACAGAAACCCATGAATAACCTTTCTTACACATTAAATTTATTTCTATACAATTCCAAAATATAGGGAGAATAACTGAAAGCAATACTAGAGCAGATGTAGAGAATGTAACAAGATATCACCAGCTAATCTAAACCTCTTTATGGTCCACTTAAGGACCCACCTTATGCACCCTGACACTGATAACATCGTCATCTATCAATTACTTATAGATTTATAACTCAACTGAATGAACAGCTAATAAACATTATTAATTATGGTTATTAATAACTTTGATTTAACTCTCTGATCATTGCATGATGATGCCAAAGTTCCTACATATTTTTACATAATTGGACATTAAAGCACCTTTTAGACACGCACCCCTAGCCAGGAATTTGGGCGACATATGTGAACAAAGCCTGGAGTTGTGTAGACGGCAAAGTGTTACCAGCAGTTTTACCCGGTTGGACCTAGTGAAACAGCTGGCTACATTCTAACCGGCTACATGTCTTATTTGAAGCGGTCAAATTACCGGTATGTCACGATGACAGCAGTACTACAGCATAATGCACAACTCCGCTCCCTCTCTTCATTAACTCTCTAGCTCGCTTGACCACTCTCTCTTAGTGGCATGTAATTTGGGAAGGTAGTGAAATTTGAGCGTAAAGATAAAAAAAATGTAACATTACTAGCTTGAACTCCAGTGACGTTAAAAATGTTACAAGACCCCAGTAATGGGGACAAAGCTTGATATGCTGCTTTATCTTTTTGAATCACAAACATTATAATTTGATATATTCATCTCACTAATGCAAGTATATCTGTAATTAATGCCTCCTGTAGAGATATGCTGAATAATATAGACTACTGGTAGTATAGTTGCAAATATAGAAAGTACAGTAACTCAAATGAACTCACACCCCCAGAGAGCACCTATAAGAGAGCACAGTATTTAGATTTGGGATTATATGACAGCTGCAATGTCCCACAGTGTCTTTGAGCTGTGTGTTGCCAACAAAGCCACCTGAATGGGAAATTACTGTGTTACCAAATCACACTGACTACTGACAAAGATTTGCTGTAATGATTCACACTGTCCTGTGTGGCTGTAACACCAAAGACCTATGAGTCAGGAAACTGCCACAGTCACTCTATACAAGCTCAGCACTTTGGGTGTAGCTGGATGATGCTTATGCTGTAAGAGCATATTCTTTTCCTTCCACTAGTTAGTAAGAAATTGTTGCAAACTGTAGAATAAATACACTCATATGCTATTTGATATGCAGCATTGTCTATGTATTTATTGTCTATTCAATACAAGCATCAAACTGAGTGCTATATGAGCCAGTAACATTCTTAGTTGCTAGGCAATCCCCACAAGAGGCATCCCGTGACAACCTGAATGTTACAGAATCTGAGGTATGTAATTTAAAGGGAAGGAAAAAAAGCAAACAGAAAATATAAGGCAGCGAGCTAGAGGAGAGGAGAGATACAGCCACTCCATAGTGGCCATGGGTGTGTTGTATTTACCTAGTCAGCCTGGGGGGTCCTCTCTCTCGGGCACATGGACAGGCAGCCCACGGTGGGGGTGGGGGCACAGACGAAGGGAGGCTAGGGGGGTTGCCAAAGGACTGGTCGTGGTGGGTTAGTACCAGGGGAGTTTTGATGTAGAGTGGTGAAGCATTAGTGTCTAGTGGGGGGGCATGCGAAATGTCACCAGGCGGGCTGTGCTTGGGGAAGTGCAGACAGCTGGGTTTGGGATTCGAATTGATGTCAAGTGATGATGAGGAGGAGGAAGAAGAGGAGGAAGGGGGCGGGGCAGGGGGCATGAAGCCAGGCCAGCGTATTGCGGGTGGTGGGGAGCCAGGGGGCTGGGACTCTGGACCAGGTGCAACAGGGCGAGCGCAGGGCGGGGGTTTTGGATAGAAGTGGTGGGGGAGCGAGTGGCACGAGGAGATGGGGTAAGGGGGAGGTGGCCGGTCCTCCCCTGGGGGTGGGTGGGCATGAGAAGTGTCCGGCCGATTGGGCGACACGTTGTCTGAGCTGTAGATATTAAGAGAATAGACAGCACAAAAGAAACAGCTCCAGTGATTGAACAGGGAGACGCATCGGAGCGATATAGGATAAGTTGTTTTGATGACTGGGGTGTTAGTGTGTTAGTTGGTCTGTAGCCAAAGACAGCCAAATAAATAAATTAATACATAAAACTGCATTTAAGGGTGGGTGGTGGGCACCAAGCTCAGCACACAGTCAGCTTAGTGCAAATACAAAGACAAGCACAAAGAAACAGCAAAGGAAAATAAAGTTTTTTGCCAAAGGAAAAGAATACCGTGTGGGAGTCCCTCTGTGATCACCTTGTGTCTGCACACTGCATGGAGCTGTCAGGATCCGTCTCTGGAGCCAAAGTGCTGGTTATCAAGCTGAGTTGATTGCATATGGACACTCTATCTGCCCTACTCCAATATGACTTGGTTGCATTGCAGGTCCTGCATTCAGCTCAGGTCAGTGCGAAACAGACACAAAACCCTTTCACTGGCTGAAAGAGCCACAGGAAATGAGGGGAGAGTCAGCCAAGCCAGAAGCCATATTAACTCTTGTCTGCCACAGTGGCAGAGCCGGCGACCATGAGGTGATTATTCATGTGCTTAATCATACCAAAAAATGGTGAAATCAGTGTGTCAACAGAAAAATAACTAATTTTACGACCAAAGCTGAGAAAGCCAAGCCACAACAATGGGATTTTGAAACTACTGGCATGCTTACAAGAACTTGCTGATTGAAGCTGATTGAAGTGCAATGTATAGAGAAAAATGTTCATACAGTATTCGGACTAAAACCCTTCAGAGTTTCAGTCAAGAAATGTCATCATCCTTTTAACAAAGTAACCCATAGTGCCACCAACCTGACAAACCACTGGGAGTAAAGAAATGTAGAGAGCAAGAAATCATAATAGTCACAGAATGAGAAATGAAGGTGATGACAGAGAAACACTAAAAAAGGTGAGAATGTTGAGCACGATGGTGATGACAATAAAAATGAAAAGGAGGAGCAGTAAGAGGTGCTTGGGTAAGAGGGAGACAGTGTCTTCGTGGTGACTTACCAAGCCCTTTCTCCAGGCGGCGGCGTCGCGGACGGAGAGGTGACGAGTTCCCCAGGCTGCTCAGGGATGAGTGCGTCTGCTGGGCCGCCAGAGCCTTGCATGCCTGGAGGAGTGGAGGAGGCCTTGCGTGCCAGAGTCGATGAACCCTTCCGAGACACCCAGGAGGTATCCATAACCCGGACGCCCATACTAGAGAAAAACACATGTACAGAATCATATATGATGATAAGGGAAGCACTACGAGATGAGTGGTGGCAGTAGGGAAGGAAGTAGGATATATGTAGGCATGGTGCGGTACCTTTGTATCTTCCTAATGCTGCGTTAGTAGGGGAGCAGAGAGGCAAAAGGGATATGAACGCAGAAGCAATACATACATGGTTCACAACACCAGACATACAGTAGAATTTACTGTGTGTGGCAAAAAGGAGCAGAAGGTTTCAGAGGTAAGCGGATGTCAGGTCACACAACCTGCTGGTACCTAGCTAATGAGCACCAATTAAAGCCTTTTTTAAAATTAAGCCTGTTTGGCCTTAGAAACTCAAAGACACAGACAGAGCAGACGCTTTTGCCTAAGATGCCCATTACTCTAAATGGATAAAAGCTATTTTCTATTTCCCCCTACTGATAGCTGCTGATTGTGGGATGCATACATTTAGATCAATGCCTATAATATTACCAACTTTTGTTTAGTTTGATGGAGGTATTTTGGTGAAGGCATATACTCTAATTCTGCCAGTGATTTTCCACCAGCTGGATGAATGACTCAGGCCAGGTGACGCGCTAGCCAGACTGCGAAGGAGGAGCTGGGTGTGGGAGGATAGGAAGATAGCACTGGAGAAATATTTCTTCAGAAAAAAATGAGTTAACCAGCCTTCATCAGAGACCTGTTACCATAGAGACAATGCCACTTAAGGCAATTTGGCCTCATGTATTCAAATGCAACTAGTTTTCAGCCTCCTCTCTCCCTGATAAATAGAAATATTAGGGGATGTGGTTGTGTGTGCTGAAATTATAAACAAGTGAACCAGCTGGTAAAATCCTCACCACAGAGCTGAGGGTAAGTGAAGCCTATGAAGCCTCCTGACTCACTGGATGCATAAATACTGCACCAAGGTAGCAGAATTTTAATGTGCAAGTGCTCCCCTCCTCAAATATAAGAATACAATATCAAATGCTTGAGAGGAGGTGTGGGTGGAACGAGAGTGAAAGAGGCAGAGTGAGAGGTGGGCAACAGAAGGATGCACTTGGCATCATACCCATCCTTCTTGTAAAACTCCAGCATCATGTTGTCGGTGGCTACGCTCAGTGGGCGTCGGCTCTGGTCATGCTGCTGCTTGCGATCAGAGTGGTCCATGTCGGGTGAGGGCATGGAGCTGTAGTTGGAGTTGTGGTTGGTGTGGATCGGGCTGCCATAGCTGCCTGTCAAGTTGAATTCAATCTCTGAGAAAGAAGCAGACACGCTCTCAGCATACAGTATTCTGGAGTTACAGTGGTGTGCATGAATTTCTCTTGTATGTTCCAAACACATTACTATAATGGGTTTTTTGGATAACCTTTAATTTTAGGGAAAGTAACACTGTGCCTACACGTTACATACTTTTCGTCCACAGAGTCACAATATATGACAAATAAAACCAAGAATATGACCAGTTGGCGTTCCCAAGTGTTTCACAAATCATATACATATATATTTTAATTCCATAACTCCATAACTCAGTTGCAGTTATGGAAGATCAGTAAGAACTGATAAGGCACTCAGGCCAAGACTACAAAATGACATACATAGTATGTGACCCCCACCTCCAGGGAAGAACCAGTCAGCATGCTGAATAATGGGCTCAATGATGCCAACAATCTGTAGGGACACAGTGGTCATCATCTCTGTCATATTGCTGGAAAGAGGAAAAAGAAGTGAGCTACAGTACAATCATTGTGCACAATCAATATGCGAAAGGTTTTGGTAAAATTCAAAAATAATTTAACACATATAACAGAGTTGTGTGAAGAATACATACGGTTCTGTGTGTGTCCAAAGCAAGTTAGGGCCGAGGACAATAGCCATGTTACCGGGAGTCATCTTGTTTGCATCTTGATACTCACTCAGCTTGGCTAAGAATTTGATTAGATATCTGTAGGTTTCAAATAAAACACCTTATCTTATTCACTCATGTTCTACCAACCGCAGCTGAACTGAGCTGATATTTTTGTCACATGTTGTATGTTGTATGACCTTTCTCAATCTTTTTTGTAAGTTGTTGATGCTTGACAAGGCAGAGCTGCTCAATTAAATCATATCACATCCTAGCCTGTGTTACCTACTGTATAGGAAAATTAAAGCAGCAGCAGTTTCAACCTACAGATGCAGACATTTTGATATTGTTTCCTAAAAGGAAATTAATGGCTACTGCAATTTTTAAACTTCACAGACAATGATTACTGCAGTTGTAAAAGTCACTACCTGTTGGTGGCACAAGCATCAATATTGCAGCAGCAAATAATTTCTTTGAATTTCTTGCACGGTTTGTTAATGTTAATACTGCTATTTTGTTATATTACACAGCCTTATGCTGGCCAATAAAGCTGATTCTGATTCTGATTCACACCTGCTGCTGTTACTTTTCCTACCTGTAGGTGGTGCAGGAGAGAAGCTGCATCAGACTTAGCTTTTCTGTCTTTCTCTAGTTTTGCTGCAGCATGGAAACATTTATAAGACTGGACAGAAAATCAGGTAAAGTAACTGACCTGAAATTGTTCAAGTTGTCTGTGGGGAGTTTTTCACACACTGCCATTAATGCCTGCAGTCTCTTGTCCATATCTTGAATGCTGCGGAAATAAAAATAACAAAATCATTATGGGTTACTGCTGCTCCACTTCCTAATAAGTGTCACCATTTTTCATTAAGGCCCTCTGTATATAAGGCTTTTCTATTTTTCATCATGGTCAATGAGATAATTCAAGAAAATGCTTTTAATAAAACACAACTTACTTGGAGGCCTGAATCCATTCATCATAAAGTTCAGTGGTCATCAGTGGCTCAGGGAGCTCACGGAGGTATGATTTCAGAGCCCCTGTGGGTGAGAAAAACAGTGAGAGTTAAAACTGGTCAGCTTTGAGAAAGAAGTGGAGGTTTTCTCTCATCAGAGTACTGGTGAGACCTTTCCCCATATCCCCATTTCCCTGCAGCCAGGCCTTGCAGTTAGTGCAGCTGCCAGGTTCAGATTGCTCATTGCAGATTTCATGCTAATGTGTAAAATGGACAGCAATATAACAACAGATAGCTCTCAGGAAAACAGTACTGAGGGGACGGCTGATGCATAGTAGCTGTTATAATTCCAGGAAGAACCACATTTTCCACCAAATAGTTTTAAAATCAATCCAAAAATGTCAAGTTTTGCCTTTTTACATTATAAGAATATGTTGAAGATATTCAGTAAAATTACTGAGTTTTACATAGTGGTAGGTGTCATGGTGGGAGAGTGGCAAGTTCTGTTGCCTCAAAGCAAGAAGGTTCCGGGTTCGAGCCCAAGCCATCCCAGTGCCTTTCTGTGCAGAGTTTGCATGTCCTCCCTGTGCCTGTGTGGGTTCTTTCCAGGTACTCTGGCTTCCTCCCACAGTCCAAAGACATGCAGCTTAGGTTGGTTGGTGACTCTAAATTGCCTGTAGTAGTGAGCGTGTGATTGACTAAATGTCAGCCCTGTGGTACACTGGTGACCTGTCCAGGGTGTACCCTGCCTCTCGCCCAATGACAACTGGGATTGGCTCAAGTGGTATAGAAAATGGATGGATGGATGGATGGATGGATATATAGTGGTATTTTACAGTTTCTTTCTTAAATAAACTTTTAACTTAAATTGACACTGTGTGGGGTTGGTTGTTATGGAAATGGGCCTTTAGCCAGGTATTTGCGTGGGTGCTGTTCACCTGCAATAGCATGTGGGTCGGAGGAGTACTCTTGCACGTCTAGAACTCCGCAGTCCAGGGAGGCTTTCAGTTTCTTCAGCTTGGAGGCTGACGGAGCCACTCTGAAGAGGCCCTGCAGCCCACACACATGAACTGCATGATCATGTGCAATTATAAGTTTACTATAAGATCTTGTATGTTTAATCTGTTTCAAAGTATGAAGACTATTATATTACTATCAGTCATTTATCAAAACATACCAGAGGGTTATAATTGGTCTAATTACCACAAACAAATAACACCATTGTTAAAATGATTAGCAACTTGAATCTCACAGCCAAGGTGCTGCTACTCCTTATAGTTTTCACAATTAATTGCATGCAGACATAGGTACTTCTTATTGCAACTCGCCTGCCTCTCCTTCCTCGGTACATTCTATTTTTAGCCAATATTAGCTCCAATCTGACAAGGTAAGATAAAGTCAACTATGTCCATAAAGTTAAATATGTACTTGCCTACATTTATGCTTGTTTGGCTGCATGCGGTTGGTTGCAAGATTATCACATTAAATAGAAAGACTGACACCAAGCCAGGGTGTAATTGTAAGGAAATAGGTGTGTGTTATTGCATAGACTTGTGTTCAAAAAATAGAACAAAAACATGCATGAGTGATGCATCTATCTGTGTGAGTGTGAGTGTGTGTTTCCTCTACCTCCTCTTGCATGCCACATTCTAAAAGCATGGTGACACAGGCTTCGATGGGGAAGGCAATCTCTCGCCCACTAATATTCAGGTGTTCCTCCAGGGACTTGCCAAATGATGGCTTCTCCACCCACGCTTCTGCAACACAAAACGGCAGCTTGCATCACACAGACACACACAAACCCTCACACCGTCATTGTATCTCCTCCTGAATGACTTGACACCAAAGACTGCATGTAAAATTTGGAGATGCTATTTGTGAGAAGTTTATTGGCAACATTCAGTAGTTAAACTCTATCAGTGCTGGATTTCAGTGTTTCACTGGTGCCATATCTTCTGGTGCTTATTAGGAAAAAGTTATGTTTAAACCGTCTTGTTTGGTTTAGCACTTGTAAACTAGCCATAGCTTAAAAATTATGGAGGATAATTATACCTTGATGAGATTGTTATCTGACACTCTAGGGTTATTAACCCCATTACTTCTTCTCTTGATATTTCTTCAGGTGCTGGAATGGATCAGAACTCTAAACACAGAGCGCATGACTCACCTTGGTGAGCTTTAATCTGGGGCAGGACGCTGTGAAGGATCTCTAATGACTTCCTGTGATATTCTGCCTGCGTTTCTATCAGCTATAGAAGAGGACAGCAGAGGAAGGGATTATAATAAACTACAGTATCTTTTCAAGGGTGTATCTTATAATAAAATGCAAGTTGTGCTAATAGATCATAGGAAAAGCCATTTTAGATACTGTGCAGAAATACACTTTCTGATGCATTTTCCCACTGTGATCACACCTTCAATGATACAATTTACTTACTGTCTGGAAGTAATTTGCATAGTCTATTTCTTTGGCCACGAAATTGTACATATCTGCTGACAATTGATCCTGAAACACAAATCAGAGAACAACTGTGTTTTAAGACATTTCCTCGCTAAAGTCCTACATTTATGTGATGTTATCCTGGCAATGTGGTCTGTTTGTGTTTGATACATGCAGGAGGTGGGGGGCTGTAAATCAAGAGAGCTAAGGAGCTGAGAAAGGAATAATATATGACTGACTGTGATTGGTGACTCACCCTACAAATCTCCATCCGATTGGCTGCCTCCTCCATTTCCTCTCTTAGGGACTCGGACTTGGCGCCAGGCTGCAGAGTGCTCGGGTGACTGGATGACTTGGACGACTGCTGATATCTATGGGCAAAAAAAAAAAAAAAAGGCTACTGCATTCCATATGTGATGCTTCCTTCCTTTACAGTCATTTAAAACCTGAGCCTTTATTTTAAAAGAATGAACAAGTGCAGGTTGTAGCCCAGCTTTTAAACGTGAACTCCCTTTACCTTGTTCGAGCAGAGTCCATGTCCAAGACGAGTTTAGCCAAGTGCTTTCTCTGCTTCTGGATGTTGGGAATGTCCACCTACAAAATAAAATGAAGTAGAGAACTGAAATCTGCTCAGAGAATTAAAGTGCAACAAAGAAAGTGACAGAGTGCAGCTCTGTAATTCAGCCAGATCGGGAAGGTGCTATATCACAACTAGTGCATTAAGTAATTGCCGACTCACCTCAGCAAGCACATAGAGAGGCTCCACCACATCTCTCTCTATCTGGAACTCAAACTGGATGAGCTCCTGGGCCAGCTTCTCTTCTGTCTCCCCACACAGTTTCAGCATCTTCCTGTTTTGGTGACAGAAAAAAAGAAAGCTGCAGGCAATGAAATACAATTAACATGCAAACAAGGGTAATGAGGGCAAAGAAAAATTTCAATAGCCTAATTAATAATTAAAGATGACTCTCTGTGTGTGCATGTATGTGAGGGAAGTGTGTGAGCACAGGCTTGTTACTTCAAATTACAGTGACTTACCCTAGGAGAGAGTCATCTCCCAACACGGCTGCCCCTTCTATCATACACTGTGCCAAGATTGTGAGTGGTAGTTTTTTCTGATAGTAGAGATACAAAATAACGCATGAACTGAATAAATAATTGTGAGAGATTTGTAAAATATTATGAATCATAACACATCAAATCAGTTTGCATTGGTTGTCAGGGTGTGAGAGAATGCTGGATGCAGGTACTCACAGAAGGAGACTTAACAGACCTCTTCTCCATATCAGTCCCCTGCTGGCCCTGCAGGCAGGCAGTCAGCTTCTTGTGAGTGCTGTGTGACACCTGCTTGACCAGATCCAGACGCTTCTCCACCTGGATGAAGCACGCACACACACACACACACACACACACTCATCAGAATGCGCTTAACAAGACCCACACATGAATAACTACGGACATTTAGTAAATGTTACATTAGCAGAGGAACCAAGGAAACACATTTTGGTTAGATCTCAATTCCCTTAGTTGCATCTACTGTACATTTCCCACATTTGCGTTTTTCCTTGTCTTAACACACCCCCACATAACATACGAGGAGAGAGGAATTGAGGAAGCACATTTTAAGATCATTAGATGTCCTTTCCTCTGATCCTTCATCTGAATTGTCTGATCACCAACTAATTTCTAATGAGAGGGCATGTCGTCCACTTCTGTGAAGGATGCTCTCGTGTATCCTCACTCGTAGCTCCTCCATGCAGCCTCTTTGTTCCTCAGAGCAGGAACAAGAACTTTGGGACATCCTTCAAAATAGTGGACCAAAATGATTTTGGGGTTGAGCATGGATCGAGACGCTAAGAACAGACAAACAGGTATTGGAATTTACCCCTAGACATAAAGCATTTCCTAGCCCCTTACCCTGACCTTAACCATCACAACAAAATGCTTAACCCCAACCCTTACCTTAATCCTAACCTAAACTAAAGTCTAACCTTAACCCTAAAACCAAGTCTTAACCCTTGAACATCCCCTCAAGTTGAGGGCTGTTTAAATTGTCCTCACAATGACAGTTCTAAACTAAGGTGTCAGGTTTGCTCGGCCGCTCTGGCCTCCCTCACCTTTCCTACTGTCTCTTGCCCCATTTACACTAATCACGTTCACCTGTTCCTCACTCCCTTATCACCAGCTGCACTTGATTAGGTTGCTCACTATATTACCCGGTTTCACTCCTCAGTCACTTGCCAGTTCGTTCTCGTCTCTAGGCCATTTTTTCTCCGTGCTCTTTCGTTGTTTTGTATGTATTTATCCCCTAGCCAGCTACTGTTTTGTGTTTCCCCGATGGACTGTTCCTCCGGACCATGGCTCCACTCTTCCCTCCCAGGCAGGTCAATGCTCAGTCGCCTATCTGTTCCACTATTGCCTTCATCTCTCTGTCTCTACCTTCAGTAGCCACCATCACCACCGACCAGCCCAGGAGTGACCCAGCCTACGCAGCTCGGCCCAGCTCTCCATCTCCTCACCTCCTGCTGTTGGTCAAACACCCGGCTACTACTCATCGATAGGACTACGCACTATTTCCCTCTGTGTATTTTTACTCTCATCATCACTGTACATAATAAATCACTGCTTGCATCGAAGTCGGCTACCTGGGTCCGCCTCTTTCTCGTTCGCTCACTGACAGGTACGAACGGCACATAACATAAGGTCTGTTCACACAACCATAGAAAGACATATAAACTCACACACCACAGCTCACCTGTAGAAGATCCTCACTTAATACCTCCGTTTTTTCTGCCCTGTAAAGATAGAAATTTAAAACAGTTAGGGGATGCTTCAACATTAGCCAGCATTGTTAAACTGCACATAAAGAAAATTGCCATCTATTTCTATTTGATATGATGGCCGTCTCAGATATTGAATTTCATGCAGCTCTGGGTATGGCATGGTCAGGGAAAACTAAATGTTTTTGTTATGTCACAGAGTTCAAACTTGTTTGTATGTCTTCCTTTAGGTCACTTTTGTGCTCTCACGTGAGAGCAGAAAGCATGTTCCTCCCCACGGACATAAACAATCAGGAGCTTGAAGTACAGTATCTTCTATTGTTCTCACTTGCGTTTTTGTTTACTGATAAAACATATGGAAGAGAACTGACATATTTCAGAAAGCATGTGAAGAAAACTATCGTCCATGGGTTGATGATTTGGGTCATTTTCTTCTTAACAAATTATACAACGTACATTAGTAAAGGTTTTCAGACTGAATAATTCGTTCATCAAGATCCGATGTGTAATTTTAGTGTTCCCTTAATTTTTTCAGCAGTTTAGTTCCAAACTCGGTTCAGATTAAAATAAAGGTCCTTATATAGTCCATGGAGAAGCTGTCACTCTCCTTAATCCACTCTGAGTGAAAGAAGCTCAACAGCAGTGAGTAAAGGCCACTAATTCAAATCCTACTGCAAATCTAGCAGACTGGGGACTTGGGTAACCAAAGTCTGAAGGAAGGAGCAGAACTGCACTGCCACTGGAGCAGATAAAAGTACTGAATGAGCCATAAGCTCAAAAAGAGCAAACCACTGGATATGACAAATACATGGTGTCAGCTCAGTTCAGACAGCTTATGTTCTAGGATTTTAGTCCTTTTCTTAGATGAGGAGATTTCCTAAACAATCTCAAAGTGCCTTTTATACTCCTGTAGAAAAGATAATATAGCCACTCTTATATGTTGCATATGTAGTTGGCTTCTTTCCAGAAATCCTTTAAAAATACTTGAACATCTACAGCTCATAAAAACAATCCAGGACCTATCAGGAGAATCAAATCAGCATAGATAACATGTACTTCCTGCTCAGAAAAAAAGGTTGAAGGCTGCCAAGGGAGGGACGGCTTGAGCAGACAGTGTGACCTCTTAGAAAAATCTAAACCAGACCTGCAGACCCCCAGCAACCACCCAGTGGTCTGTATAGTCTCTATGGGCTTCCCCTTCCTGCCTGCACAACCTCTTCCTGCTATTGTGCCCTATCAAAACCAATTGTGAATAATAGCTTTTTGTATAATTTATTTAAAAACTAAATTTGATTGTGTTTCTCCACTGACCAAGAGAATGGAAAAGACCTTGCCCTGTGCTATATTATTCATCAGCTAGACAAAACATCAGCGACACATAAGTCAAATGCTCTTTTTATAAGCCTTCTCACCAAGTCTCGGTCTAAAATGGCAGAAAAGAAATGTTTAAGACTAACACTAGTGCAGGTTTGTACACAAATGTCATGCACTATTGCCAGAAAGCTGAGCTTTAACGATGTCACTTATTAGCATCCCCAGTCTCAGTGCCAAGATGTGAGCAATGAGCCATGGGAACTGGGTCAAACCATGTACCAATAGATCTAATCACAGCCGGCCTTTTGAAAAACTGCTCTACCCACTTGGCTATGAGGAAAATACAGGAAATGTGTGTGTGTTCATGTGTGCCTAAGGGAGAGAGAGAGAGAATGATAGCTGAGCAAAAGATTTCTGGCATAATTTGTAGGAATAAGTGCGATCACAGATTGCTGATTACATGACAAAAGGAGGCAAAAATAACCCGAGCATAGCACTAAAGTTTGGCACAGTTTTGCTGCAACACTCCCAGCAGCATCTAAAAATCTCTAAACTACCAGGTTCTGTAAAAGAGCTTGCAGGCAAGGCTGTCACATGTATTCCATGCTGAGTGCGTAGCCTGGAGGTCTGCAGTGCAGCTGTGAGACTGTCACTGTATACCTGGCCTCAAATTGGCCAGTCGAGGTGCACTTTAACAGGATGGCAGCTGAGGAAGCCTAACAGGGGCCCAAAAGCGCAGGTGGGAGAGGAGGCCCAGTAATGACAGGGGTGTGGAGAAGCTACTGTTAGTGATGTTTGGTAGATGGACTACCTGTGAGGCTCTCTGTGTCAGGAGCTACACTGACAAGCTAACCGCATGAGACAATATGACAGTTGCATGTGCTAGAATTTTTTACTAGCCAGGTATCATCGTATTCCTATCATTCTTCTTAAAGGCTTGTACTAGGGGCATGCACAGTACAAGCCAAACCACATCTAGATGACTGCATTAAATGATTACAACAAGGGAATTAATGTTTAACATGCAGACATGGTGCTCTCACTGACTCCAATTTGTCTGGCTGTGACTTAAGCATGAAACTGATTGGAGCCTATCTTCAAAGGCAGTACGCTGTCTTGTTCTTTGAGCTTGTTTGTTTTCAGACACTGGTATTTCCTCTTAGGAAAGTAATATACATAATCGGCCTGTGAAGGCACAGAGGAAAAATAGTATTGCTAGGCTGGAATATGGGGTGGTTTGCTCGGCCCTGTAGAATCTGATGTACTGTAAAGCTATTGTGAAAAATATTTGGGAGGTGAAGAGAGAGATACAGTATTCATGACAAATATTGTACAGAACGAGTCCTGGGAGGAAAACAAACACATGGGAATGTGGCTGTCATGTGGGTGGCGCGCCTATAGAGGGGGAAGAAGACTTTGTCACGTTTATGCCAACCATCTGCCACTTCACAGGCCTTCCTTTACCTGAAGCTGCTGATGACTCAATACAAACAAGCACACACTCACACACGCACCTGCACAGACATCTATAAATATAGAGATTAATTAACAAGTCAACTTGCTGAAATGTACCAGGCCAACAGATTTTAAAAACCATTTCAAAAGCTGCCTGCATCTTGCTTGTTATATCAGTGAAAAGAGTGCAGTGCAAACATGAATGACCGCAGAGGCTGTGGAAGATTAACTGGTGGGATGTATTTACAGAAAGAGATCAAATGCCTTGAATAACTCCCACTACTCCTCTGGTGGCAACATCAACAAAGTATTGATAAGAAGAAGGGTCTGGATGTCTTGAGGACATCTGGACTTGTGTATTTACAGCTGGATAAAGAGAAATGTAATTTCACTGTGCATATTTTCCCAGCGATCTTAGACATTCCAAGTAACTCAAATGTCTTATATAATAAATATTTCTATCTCAAGATATGTTAATGTTGGATGGTCTCATGTTCAGCCTCCAAGCACTGTGTATGTTGTATGAAAACATAAATAACCCATGTTGACATAATCAAAATGTGAATAAACAACATCCGGAGTCTTTACATTTCTTTGGTAACTATCTGCTGTACCTGTTTCAGTCTATACTGTAGGTCCATTTGAGATTTGTCTGACATTAAAAAAAAGCTCTGTTTGCTTTTACTGCTAGCCTGGCTAACACAAGTGCTTGCTCTGAGGCCTGGAAGAGCTGTGTGGATGCTGGGGAAAGGGTAGTGGAGTGGAATGGTGGCCCTGGGCCTCAGCAGAGCATTACATGGCCTGGAGCGCTGGCATGAGATCTAGAGTCAATCACACAAACACACACACACACATACTGTATACATACATATTGCATATGCAAACAGACACACACAAAGACACTCTTTGAATATTTCTCTTTGAAATTTTTCTTTTATCCAAAACCTTACTGTGCAAATGTATCTAGAGGCCCACCTGGCTTCCTCCCCAGTTACAAGGTGGAGGGCTGATGGGATACCAAGTTACTACAACAGAAAAACCCACTTACTGTAGTTGTCCAGCAAACTAGGTCACAGTTCTGGTAAGTATGCAAGAATAACTGTGAGAGGAGTATACACACATCCACACAAATGTGCACACCCATACACATAAAACACATACGTCCATAACAGAAGTGAAAGAGAGAGAGAGAGAGAGAGAGCCTGCAGCATTCAGCAGTGTTTCACTGGAAATACAAGCAGTGAGTTATCGCTAATAACCTTATTCATGGTGAATAATCTCCACACAGCTCTTTGAGTTGACCATGCTATTACACTTGGCATTGACACACACACACACACACACACACACACACACACACACACACACACACACACACACTGCATTTGCATGTAAACAAAGTGAAATGTCCAGGAGAAAGCTTCAAGTAGACAATGACACTGAGTATCGATCCAATGTTCTCCTTTCATCCAGCCCATGTATGAGCACACAGTCACAAGCCATCTTTTTTTTTTCTCTGCCATTTTTGGCAAAGCTAAACAAATGTGCTGAAACAGCTAATGTCAAATACGTGTTTCTAGGCAACCA